TCATGTGCTGCAACCCAAGATGATATTACCCAGTCCTATATTTTTGGCTAAAGTGCATGTTGTATCCCTTCACTAGGCAGTTTTTCTTCTTAGGAGAGGCAAACTATAGAGTGATTAGCAGGAGCCCACACAGGGAAGCATAAAACTCTCTCTTGCATTGGCCATTCCTAACTTCAGGGGCCTTGCTCTCTGAAGGCGACCAGTTGTACTAGGGCCACCCAATGGGAGACTCACATGATGTGATTACTCAGAAGGTGGGAGGACCCGCTCACATCTGACTTGAAGACCTCCGAGATGCTAGGTAGGGCCTTCCCTCCGGAAGGGAGACTGCCCCTGAAAGGTTATGACAGGAGGACAGGTGGGAGCATCCCATCCTGCTGAGGAGCAGAAGGGGAGCCATTAGGGGCTGCAAATCCCTACTGTGCCTTCCGCATTATATACGTCACTTGTAAGAACTTTTCCACCAAACTCTGCTCTTGAAATATGCTCTTCACGATCAGAGGCCATTTTGACACATCAGAATGTCGGTGGTGCTGCTGAGCAGGAGGTTACAGCTATGTTTGTGGCTTTATTTCTTTCTTTTGACTTCATGCATTTTTGGTTTTTTTTTATTGTTATTTTATTGAAAATAGTCACACTAAGAACCTTGGTCCATGTCTTGCTCTTGGTCCGATGCCCTATGTTCTCTGATCTTCCCCAGACAGTGGAGCATTTGGTGAAGAGCTGAGACTCCAGGGTCAGACTCTAGGTGTTAATCTCCTGGCCCCACGGTTGACTGACCAGGCAGTTGGCCAGCGTGCCTGATACGGACAAGCCCCAGCTTTCTCACATGGGAAAATGGGATGACAGTGGTTCCTGCTTCGTAGGGTGGTTGTGAGAACTTAGTGGAAAACTCATGGAAAGCGTATGTCGCAGTGCCCAGCACAGGGCATGTGTTTACTTGGACTGTTTCCCCTGGGACAATGCTGGGGAGGTTATTTATGCTCTTATTTCATTATCTTGGTTTCCTCAAATCCTTGATAAAAGGAGGTGGGCTATAAATAATAAGTAACTGTGGTTTGTTATTCTTTATTCCTATGGAAATAATTTGTTGATTTATAACATAATGATTTAGAATGGCTCACATACGCAATTCAGGTAGACACTAAATTTCTCCGGGCGTGGAATTTCCTGTGGGAGAACCTGGCAGTGAAGGGGGAAGTCAGATGATTTTTCCCTGCTGGTGATAATATGAAGTCTCATTTCTTGGTGTTTCTAGAAGTGTTTTATTTGCTTATTCATTCTTAGACCAAGAAGAAGGCGTCAGTATTCTCACTTGAAAACATATTACGTCACTGTAGATTTCTTTATTACTATATGTTTAACATACAAGGATATAAAATGTGCAGGGGGACAGGGTCAAATGCACACTTGAGAATCTGTAGGTGCCATGAAGTTAATTAGGTGGATCTCAGGTCTGGTGGTGAGGCCCCATTAATTGAAATGTCTCTTTGGAGAATTTTTTAGTTTCCCTAACATAAAGTAAAGAACATTATGAGGAAGAAAGAGAAAGTTGGGAGGGAGTTACAGTTCCCCAGTTGTTTATATTTTGTTGTATTTTATCCCAAAAGCTTGCATTTGTTCAGTCTTATGAAACATGATGGAAGCTCCCTGTCACTGGCCAGCAGCTGGGGATGTAAAGGTTCGTAGCCACGGGCCTGGATTCTGGTTGCTCACAGTGTCATAGAAAGAATGACACAAATCTCTTTAGGGAAAAAAAGTGTTAACGATGTTATGGAGGTGTGCACGTTTTATAATACGACACTTCTGAAATTCACAGAAGCTAGTTTTGTTTCCTGATAGAGAGTAAAAAATACCTCTGTGTGTGGACACACAAGTTGGAGAGAATTTTCGAAGATGTGCCAGAAGAAGACGTCCCTGACGTGCTCTGTTTCCCCGCCAGCCTCAAAGGCATCCATTCTGGTGTTCTCCAAATGTGAGGGAGAAAGGGGGTGGGCATGTGTAATGCTGAAATGCATTGCCACAGGCTTTTTCTTTCCTCTTACCATTTGTCGATTGCAGTTGCTGTATCGCCAAATACGAAGAGAGATTGAGTTTGTATAACAGCTTGTCACCAAATGAATAAAAAGGATTTTTAAAAATTGGCCACAAAAGTTTTCTTTTTGCCTTTAAAAGAAGCCTGGTTTAGAAAATACTCCACATGACTAATTTTTCCACAGTACCCGTCTCCAGCCTGTTTTTATCTCCCCCTAAAGGCATGTTTAATAAGCTAAGCGCCAAGTTATTGGCTTAGTGCATATTGATATTCTTTCTGAAACAGGATCTAGTCTAATACTTGCATAATCAGAAATGTGTTTAGACTAGTGAAATGAAAGTGGTGACAGAGCCACGGGGATGTCTTTCTGAAACAGAATACGTTAGGAAACATTGTTGTACCAGGATATTGATGAATATGGAATGATAGTATTTTATATCAGTGTAGAAGTTAAGCTAGAGTGCCCTGTTGACTTTTGCAAATTATCTTGCTGGTATTCATCATTTTAGACTGGCATGTCACAGGAGAATCTGAAATTTGTTTCAAATGTTTCAGTAGGGGTAAGGAGAAGCATCTCAAAAAAATACAGAGGGGAGCATGCTGTCCCTGATACATGATTGGGGAAAATGGCGTTTGGGGCTAAAATAGAATCAGTACACATTATATATCAGTAGGTGACTGATGGCTAAGAAGCACAACCAAACGCTGGTCTTAAATCTCAGGATTTTTGACAAGCTCAGAAATCACCTTCTTAAATATTTTTGGAGTTTGTTCTGCATTTGTTTCGTAAAATAATTTATTTCCCAAGTCATTTTTCTATGTATGTTTCATTGAAGAAACTACCAAGAAGCAATTTCAAGCCAGGGACTGCTTTGAAACCTGCTCAATCAAAATTCCCATTTCTTCATTCCTGTTAGCCCAGGAAGGGCGTGGGGACAGTTACCCTAAACCCTTGGGACCAGGCTCAACTGGGCCAATGTGTGTCCCAGGCAGAGGAATGACTTCTCTATCTCAATATGCTGGAAATATTTGCTCAATATTTCTGTAGAGCAGAGAAAGAAGTTACCTTATCGCATGCAGATGAAGTGTGAGGGTTTTGAATTAACATATGGGATAAAATCCCTGCTCCGCCATACACCAGCTCTGTGATCTTGGGCAAGACTAGTCACTATTTCTCAGTTTCCCCATCTATAAAATGGGCATAGTACTGACTTTATAAGGGTACAGTGAAGATAAAATGAGTTAATCCATGAATAGTCCTTAGCAGAGTGCCCATCAAATGGTGAATACCCCCAAAATTGTATTGGGTTGTTGGAAAAGTCATGACGCATTTTTGCAACGAAAAACAGAAAAAATACGTCATGACTTTTCTGACAACCCAATAGTACCAGATAATATGATTATTTAAATTGTAATTCACTTATTGCAAGATGAGTTTTTGCACATTTCCTTTTAGCATAGCTTACATTTGAAATAATGGGAAATTTTCTTCTCCTGTGAAGAGAGTTTATGTCCCTTTTCCTTGAACTCTAGTAAACGACAATTGGATAAGATTAATTTAACTTTGCACCCTCAGTGGCATCTGTCATTTCCAGCTCCTGCTTCTGAATCGTATCATATGGGAAATTGAGCTTCATTGGAGAATTCTTGCAGCAATTTATGATCTCTTTCTTTATACCTCAATGGCCACCACTGTGGGAAAAAACAAACAAATGAACAAAAGAACATAGGTAATAGATGTGGAAAAGACCCCATAGAAATGTGTGTTGGTTGCCTTTTCTCACATGAGAGGTCGGGAGGAGACGTAAGAGAAGGATGAGGTGAGTCGTGTAGTTGAATCTCCTAAATATATCTATCTAGATTTAGATCATAAAGGAGAATGAAAGAGCCATAAACTCAAATCCATATGCTTCCTTAGAGATCTGACTGCGGTTTTCATTTCTCCTCCTGTATGGGAGAAGGGAGATTTTGGATAACAGAGCCGTTATTTCAGGCAAGGACCCAGTGACTGGGTCGGCCCTGAGCCTTTCGCTCGCGCTCCACACTCCCTTTCCTTGCTTGTCTCCTGGGGCTGGGCTGCACTGACTGAGGCCACGCCCTGTGCTAACCCATATTCTGTGTATGTTGGCTGCGTGTTTTCTGCCTGAGGCAGCCATCAGGATATTGAAATTCAGAAGCTCATGGTGGCTGCTGGATTATTTTTCGTGGGCTGATATTTTTTATTTTCTTGCACATAAGCAAATCGTGTAACACATTCCCTTGGATTGAAATGGTGTCCATAAGTATTGCAACGGAAAACATAGAAAAAATACATCATGACTTTTCCGACAACCCAATATTTATATTGACTGGAATTAGTGTCTGATCATTTTGTGTTTGCATTAAATGTAGATGGCACTGTATTTTCCAACACAAGCTCTGTGGGGAGTTTAAGGTTTTCTGCTCCTTTGTGGAACAAAAGAAATTCGGGCCTTATTTCTTGGGCCCTCTGTCTGTGTTTTGGATTATAGACTCATGAGAGCATCAGCTACTAAGCCTTCTGATGAATGGTTACCACTCAGAGCAGCGTCCTTGTATGATGTTAATTAAATAATTTGACACAGACGTGAACAAACATCTTAGATGGAAGCACATGTAACTCTTCAGGTCGTGTTTTCTCTTTTAGTGCATTTGTTTCTGTTTTTAAAATAATGACCATAATATCACTGATATGGAAACCTATTCTTTTAAAAGTTAATTTTTTGTTTGCATATACCTTTGTGTTTTCTGTTTTCCCAGTTTTATCAGATGTGAAACAAATGTTGGTTGTCTTGGGTGCGCTTCCATTTTGTATAAGCACTTTTGATGTCACGTGAATTTCCTAATAAGTTTTGAGCTTAACGCGGGATGAAGAGCAACAAGAAAAGTGATAAGTCCTGAAATATTCAGTGATTCTCAAAGTGTTAAACTTTTTTTCCTGTTGCAGTGAGAGATTTTTCCTGAGGCTGAATAGAAACGGGCTTCCCAAAGCCCCAGATAAGCCAGAACGACACTGCTCTCTCTTTGTGGTAAGTGGATCGTGGTTCAGCCAGGAGGCGGAGCCTTCCAACTGCACTTCATGTCATTTAGGAGAAATAGATTATTGTGAGAGAACATAGTGAATTTGCTTCAGCTTTGTCACTAATGCACAAAGTATAGTAGTGTCCAGAATTCTGACTCCCACATTCACAGCCACTCCTGTGTTCCTCACGTGCACGAGTATATTAGAGCCCGTTACACTATTGCCAAAGCGCGGTGGTCACGGTGGTGACAGGGCTCAGCGTGACCTCGGCTATTCAGTATGCACTTGACACATGTTTGTAGAATGAGTGAGAGGTTGAAATAAGAATGGGCTTTCCCTGGAAACATAATTTGACATCAGTAGACGGACAGTGAGGTCGATCGTAGTGGTATAATTAGAACAGGACTTGAACCCTATGCTTCTGCTATAAAATTCCATTAAGATCGTCTGTGTTGGTCATTGTCTCCTGTTATTTGTGACAATAATGTGCTGTGCCCTTTACATGCTCCCCGTAAATTAGGAGTTTTAGAATAACTGTACTGTATTTTTTGGCAGGACCTGGGCAGCAGCGAGCTAAGGAGGGACATCTATGTCACCGTGCACATTATCCGAATCGGTAGGTATGACACATGTTGGGGTGACAGGAGCGCCACAGGGCGAAGTGGGGTGGGGAGGTCCCTGTGTTGTTGTGCTGTGGTCGCCGCATGGAACAGAGAAGTCAGATCTAGGTCTGAATCTGAGAAACGCAGAAATGCCGAGTTGGCCTCGGCCACCCCGAACTCACATAAATAGATTTTGTTCTCTCCGTGTAAGTTTTTGGGTAGGTTGTAGTGATCCATCTTGTCTTATTAGGCTCCCTACACATATCGGATTCAAACATTTTGGATTCGTCTTTTTAAATTTTAACTTCTGTTCACAGCAGGAATTAAATGTTTGGAAGCTGGATCTCCTGCAAGTTTATAAAACTTTACAACAGTTGCATTTTCCAAAGCACAGGATGCTTCAGTTGTATTGTAGAAGACACTACAATAAAGGGGTTTGGAAATACTGAATACTATATATGCTTTTTCTCTCGTATAATATCATTGGCTTATTAAAGGGTCTGGGAAGTCCTGCAGGGAAAAGTTAGAATGCCTCTGACTTTGTTGAGCCTTGTTTTCCCAAACTTTGATCTGACTGCAGTAACATGTATACTGGAGGGGCCAAAAAAATGTATACACATGACTTGTATTCATCTTTTGTTATCAGTAACATTGAGTATTACAATTTTAATACAGTGTTTTCCTTTCTTAAAATGTGTACATGTTTTTTTGGCCCCCTCTGTGTAAGGTGACACTTCACGTTCTGCAGGAAACACTGGAATTCTATGATAAACTTGCACAGCAGAGCCAGACAACACCCCCTCGTGTCTACACCTAAAAGGCCTCTAGAAGCAGGCGTTTCATGGCAGAGGACATGGGTCAAAGGAGGATGGCGGGGTTTCCGTACTGAAGCCCAGCAGCCCATGCTGAGAATGGCGCCCGCTGATCCCCATCCGTGGCAGTGCTGTTGCTTGCCCGGGACCACGCCTGCAGGATAGTCATGTCTCACCAGGCAACCCCGCAGGGCGATCGTTATTTGTATACTCAGTCTTTTGTTTTATGCATGTGATCACCGCATGGCGCATTGAGACTATGAAACCTATGGTTTGGTCCCAACATATATTTTCTATATATTTTTTTTTTCATAAAAATGTGTTGCGAAAACCCGTTTTCATTTTATACTATTTTTACATTGAAGGGATAGTAGGAATTTTCAAAAAAGTAAACTGTCTTTGCTTTTATTTCAGTTTTCTCTTTACAAATGGTATGTGGGAAAAAATTTAGCAAGAGCCGTTTAACACATTGGAAAAGCGGGAATGCATGCTGCTGTGAATTTATGAGATAAAGCCACTCACTGTTCCCAGGGTGGCAGGGGTGCAGTTTGTGAGGCAATTCTTTCAGGTTTTTTTTTTTTAATTCAAATTTGTAATACCAATCATTAATGTAGATGGGTGGTTTTGGATATATTCATGTAAACATTGCTAAAATTCGAATATAACGTTTTACAGCGTTGGGAGAAAAAGCAAAGCACTTTAGTTTTCAGAACTTCTTGAAAGGCCCCTACAGGTTTGTGGTGGTGGACGCGCACATGGCTGAGGGCCGAGGCGCCCTGCCGGCCCTGCTCCGGGCGGCCCCGTAACCCACGGCCTGTGGCCAGGCCAGCCGCTCCGTAGTGCTGCCCATCACAGGGCTGCCTCCAAGTCCATGGTGTGGGATCAGTGGGTGCATTTTTTGCTAAGATTTTTTTAATCACTATGTTATCAGAATGAACGTTGAATCAGAAGGTACCTACCTCTCCTTCCCCTCAATCTTTGGTCAAATGGACACTTCACTGAGGGTACTGCAAACGTTTGCCTGATGGTGATGTTTACTGGCTTGACATTTTGAGACAGAGGAGAAATAAGATTGCAGATGAGAAACTCTAAGAAAGGTCTAGACTTTGTCTGCTGAGGTAGAATTAAGGCGCAGAGGATTCTTGTCTATCGGGGACAGATACCTTTTCTAGAACGTCCCTTGTACCTGCTTTACTAGGAGAGCACACGCTGATCCTCGCTGGCTGCGGAGAGCAGGAACAGTAGTGTGTGCCTTGGAATTTAAGCCGGGTTTTGATTGGAGAGAGTAGAGGAAAGAAAGAGAAATAGTTTCATATCCCCCTGTCCATCCCGCTTAAGTCTTTCCCACCTCCACGTCTCCCTTTTGGCTTTTAGGTGGTTGCTAAGTGTTGGTACCTTTTCCCACTCCTACCTTCCTTCCTGCTGAGAGAATTTCTCTAGAAATCTGGCCAGAACTGGGAACTGTTATTAACCCTAGAGTTGGGAACACGAGGGCTGGCAGCACACCATCTTTTCAGTACAGTAATTGGACCAGAGGTCTGGGATCCGAAGCTGTGGTGCCCGCAGAGCCAGGAAAGAAAACTTCAAGTTGAGAGCCTGAGGACCAGTGTGTGGAGGTTGGGGAGTGAGAGAGAGTGACAGGCACCTCTCTGGGGAGTCCTCCAACTTGTCCTGCGAGAGCCCTTCCTGTAGCTCCCTTACTGTGCAGTTGCCCCAAGAACCCACAGGGTTTGCTTGGCTACAGTTGAAGCCAAAGGGGGTGGAAAACAATCGGACTGATATGCATGCCATCTACAAACTCCTAGCAAATTAGAGCTGCAAGAGCCCTTGGGAATAATCTTGTTGACAGTTTCGAGTTTTGTTTTGTTTTTTGAATAAACTTCTTGTGTGATGTTAAATGACTTTGAAATACTCCACTCAGAAATCTTCTAATCACTTTGTCATCTTGCATTTACAAGGAAATGATTAAGGAAGAAAAAAAAATACTTTTTTTTTCAAAGCATGATATTGGTAAAGATTGGAGTATATATTTCATCCTGATATAATCTGTAATAATATTTAAAACAGAGATAAACTACTTCTTTTCTGTTTAATGAGAGACCAAAGTTTTAAATTTGTTTAAATCAGTTCTGTAAGTAAAAAAAGATTTGTTGATAAATTCAACCATGACATTATGAAGTGTTTGATTTGCAGATGAAATTTATATTAAAGCATAGATTGAAATTTAGCCATATATTACAGCATCAGGTCATGTAAGCATGATATTTGAAATGCTTACATTTTGTGCTTCTAAACAGCAACTGGCTTATCTTGACCATGTTCTAGTTTTGATTCTAACTGACAAAATGAGAGGTTTTCAGGCTGCTCTTTGTAAGCATTTGCATAAAAATGATATTTTAGAGAGGGAGTTTTTCTTCCTTACTCATAAATCCAAGCGAAATTGGATATTGCCATCCCTTTTTTTCCATTTAACATTGGGTTTGTGAAGAGCGAGAGGCCCTAGATGTGCTGCAGGAGAATTTCGCTTAGATGGAAACAACTTCCAGAATGTTGGGAAGCATCTCGAAACAGATTTGCACATTTTTTTCATTATTTTTCCTTAATATTAACAACTTGTCATAGCTCCAGTGTACTCTCTGTCATCAAATGAAAACAGTATCTCCATAATATACTGAAACATATACTCACATAACTATTTCAGTAAGTGGAAACTGTCATGGTGAACGCCATCCCAGGAGATTTCAGCCATTGGCTCTGTTTTAATCAGCCTCAGCCCCGAGCCTGGAAAGGGCACACTTACCCCATCACCTGTGCAGCTATTCCTCAAGGGAATCTCAAATGGTTTCCTTTCCAAGGTGAAATATTTAAAATAGTTTTTTAAACATGGCAGTATTTTAAAGTACAAAAATGAAAGAGGCACCATTACTGCCTTTATTGACGCAAACCTCCTGGTGTGTCTTCACGCATCTTTGGGCTGAGGGTTCCCAAACGTGGGATCAGCCCCAGTCGTCATGTTTCATTGGTGGCAGCTGATGCCCAGAGTTTAAACCCTGTGCTCAAGGTCACACAGCGAGGTGGTCGGAGAGGAGAGTTAGAACTGAAGCAACACTATCAATCGCCCCAAACCTGTGTCCTTTCCATCGCCCAGTTACACTTCGTGTGGGACTACCTTGTAGCTGTGTGTGTGGATCTGTTTAAGATGCTCTAATCCAATGTTTGCTTTTTAATGGACCAGGCCGAATGGGGGCAGGAGAGAAGAAGAACGCCTGTAGTGTCCAGTACCGGCGACCCTTTGGCTGCGCAGTGCTTAGCATCGCCGACCTGTTGACCGGAGAGACGAAAGATGACCTCGTCCTGAAAGTGTACATGTAAGGAGTGTGCAGGTGGTGGGGGCGTGGCGGGCATGGGGGGGACATGGGTTCCTGCGTGGTGCGTGCTACTGACTGTGCGCCGTGGAAGAGCCTGGATGGGCTGAGTCCTGAGCCACTCCTCAAGCTCTCAGTAATGTGCAGACTCACTCCAGGCGAGCTGGCAGACCACCACTGGCCAGCTGGGGGAACCAGGAAACCAAGATCAGATCAGGAATAGAGGCAGGCAGCTTCTCAGCTGGGGAGACCATCCCCTGTGTAGAGGGCCTCCTGTGAATTTACGTCCTGACATGTCTTTACCGCAGAGAGGTCGTTTGTTCTTGGAAGACGGAAATGGTTTTTAATAGAAACTCCTTAGAATTAGGAAAAGGAGGCTCAGGTGATGGTCCTCCTGCTTCATGTATTAGTTTGCTAGGGCTGCCGTAACAGAGCGCCATAAACAGGAGGCTTCAAGTACAGGAGCCGAGCACCTCACGGCTCTGGAGGCTGAGAGTCCTACATCACGACAGGTTCCGTCTGAGGGCTGTGAGGTCTGCCTGCAGACGCAGACATCCGTGACTTGTGGGTGCATCGCCCCACCCCTGCCGTCACCCTTGCACGGCACTGTCCTTATGTGTGTACCTGTCTTTTGTCCGTATTTCCCCTTTTATAAGGACATAGCTCTATAGGGTTAGGGCCTACCCCAGTGACCTCGCTTTAACTTGATTATTTCTAAACAAGGTTACATTCTGGGGTACTAGGGGTTAGGACGTCAGTGTTATCTTTATTGTGGCGGGGGGATCACATGTCAACTCCTAACACTTCGCTAAGAAAACCACTTCCTGTGTTCCCAATCCAAAGGGAAATGGTTTTTCGAGTGCCCGGGTTTCAAATCACCCCACCTGGAGCAGCTGCCCACAGGTTTGGGCATCGAGAGTGACACACAATGGCTTGCTCAGAGCTGACCCATGGGGATGGGGGTGGGTTCTACTTTCCCGATTTGAAGACCTTGCCATGCGCCACCTCCAGGAGTGAGCTTGCTTTGTTTTCTGTCCTGGCTGATGAGGTAACACATCCATCGTCTGCCAGGAGCTTTTTCGTGTGTGGAGGTAGCACGAGCAGCCCACGGCCCGGGGGACATGTACTTCCAGTTGCGGTTGGATCACTGCTGCAGCACTTCATAGATTTATTCTTTCTCCTCCCAGGGCCCCTGGGACTCATGCCACACATTTCTAATTAGTGGACAAAGATTTGTCTATAGCCTGTGGTTTAGAACCGGAAACTGTTGATCTCTGTTAAGGGAGATAAAATCTGTGACCTTGATTTTAAACTTGAAAACTTCTGGTGAAACCAGTGGGTAGTAAAACTTGCTTTTTATCACATGGGAGCCCTGAACTTCAGGGTTTGGGCTTAAATCCATGGTAATCTTTCCGAACTCTAACGGAGGTCACAAAACAATGTATTTGGAGTAATACTGCTGATAATGGCCACCATTTACTGGGTGCCTACTGAGTGCAAGAACTGTGTTAAACACTTGGCATGTGTCCTGTCACTTTATTTTCATAAAAAATAAAATGCATGAAGCAGATGCGATTGGCTCAGTTTTACACATAAGGGGACAGAGAGGCTACTTAACTTGCCCAGAGACACTCAGCTGAAAAGAGTGGGAACCGGACTTGAAGTCAGGACCGTCTGACTCCAGACCTGAGCTCTCCTGTAACCAGGTCACATGCCCCCAGGTGTGATTTCACACCCCTGCATAGTGATGTGAGAAGGAAGCTGTTATGAGGCATTGCTTTTTAGGAAAGCTAAAATTCCTCACAAGCACAATTTCATCATTTCTTAGCATGGCCTATCCAGGTGAGGGTAGCAAGAGCCATGTTTATCTTGCCAGCAGGAAGGCTTAGGGGCCTGTAGTTGCACGCATGCCCTCGATTATGTGGACAGCTGAAGGAAACCCATGAAGTCCCACTCTGCCTATGGGAGACACTAACTCTCATAAAAATAAATCGTACTGCTCTTCGTGGTTCTTATTGTCTGTTTTTTATAAGCATCAAGTAAGGTTTGGAGTTATTCTTGTTGGAAGAGAGATCCCTTAAAAAGGCCGGTTTAGCAGATCCTGAAGCTGTTACAGGAGGAATTCTAGCCAGTGAAAACAGTCCCTGTAGATTAAGAAGGAACCATGGAGCCAGCTGAGTGGCGTGTTGATTAAGAGTTGGTTTGGGACGCCAGCTCTGAGCAGCAGGGCCCTGGTTCGGATCCCACATGGGGGCCAGTGATGCTGTGCCCTCTATAGCTAAGATGCTGAACAACAGCTCGACCTGGAGCTGGGCTGCCGTGAGTTGCTGGCGATGGCATAGGCTGCAGTGGAGCTGTAGTGGGCTCCCGTAAGCTACCGTGAGTGGCTGGCAGCCAGCGTGAGCAGTCGGCATCCAGCATGTACTGCCATGAGCTGCCATCAGCGGCCATCCAATGGCCGGCGAGCGACTGCCTCACCCAGGAAGAGCGCAGTGATCACAGTACCAACATGGGCCAGTGAAGCAATGTCCTCCACAACTAGACTGAAGAACAAAAGGACAGCAACTTGTCTGTTCCCATTTCACGATGCCCCAGTCCTGTTCCCTTCTCCCAATTCCCCAGTAAAATCTTAAAATAAAAAAAGGAATCGTGAATTTAGTAAAACATTTTAGGGAAGTGTCTATTAGAGACAATTTGGAAGGAACTTCTATTTGTTAAGGTGACCAAATCCTTGGCCCATCTGGGACTCGAATATAGAACAATAATAAATACCTCATCTGAGTTCGGAAGACATTCAGTCACATGCTTTGGGAGCTTTGATTTTGTTTGGAGTTTTGTAGGTTAAAAGCAAGAATTCTGGAGCCTCTTAAATATATAATAGGAAGTAAACCATCTTTCTTCCTTCCCCACTGGGTTAAAATAAACAAACGGGAGGCAGGATGCACTCACTGGTAACATGGCGTCTTACAGCTGGACAGGTGGGCTGCTTTTATCCACCTTAATTTTCTAGCCACCACAATTCAGTGCTCTGGTTGGCATCCTGCTGCTCAGTGGCTCGGAAATAAACTCCATCAGGTTCATCCTGGAAAAGCTTATGGTGATGAAATCACTACATAAGCAAATTGTGAATGGTCAGCCGCGGACAAGGTCACAAGGGAAAAGAATCGGTTCTCTGGGTCAGTTTGATTGATAGTGTATAGAATCTCGAAATTCGGGATTCCTGGGAGGCGGCCTTTGTGCCGCATGAAAGATAGCAGAGAAATTACAAACATGTCCAGATGAGGGGCAGTCTCCCAAGCTTCCTCTAATTGTGTCTAACGGGAGCTGTGGCAGTAAACAGGCATTGCAGTCCCAAATATTTCCAAGCTACCAGGAGTTACCAGGCCGGGATACCCATCCTTCATTCCTGCAGCTGATGCTTTTCAAGCACCCACAACGTTCAAAGTACTGAGGGTGACGCAGATATGAAATAGTCCTAGATCCACTCCCCAAGAATGGTGGGTCTCCTGGGTTAACCACATCATGTAAACAAAGATAACGTGAGCTAGCGAGTGGCGAGAGTTTTAAGAACAAGGCCCAGATGGCCGTGAGGGTGAGAAGACAGAGACATGACTTTAGCTCCGAAGTTGGAAAGCTGGGAGGCACCTTAATTGCCCTTCCAGAAACCCTGGCACCCTCCCACCGGTTCACATTGTGTTAAGCTTAATTCATCCTGCATTTTGGTCATGTTATAGTAAGAACCAAAACGGGTCATGTTACAGCAAGTGGAGACTCGCTGATGAGAACTAGCATTTCTTGAGCATTACTACATGTCAGGCATCATCCTAAGCCCAAGCTTATTTAATTGTTCTAGGGTATTACCCCCATTTCACAAATGAAGATACCAAGGCACAGAGAGGGTAAATAACGTGCCCAAAGAACGTAATTCAGTTGATGTGGATTCGAATCTAGAGAATCATACTCTTAGCTTTTGCTGTCTTCCCCTGTTTGCACTGTCCTCTGAGATCTTGGGTGGGGGAGGGGGACTCTCATCATCTGTGAGCTGTTCCTCCTGGTCGCTTCTGGCCTGAGGTCTCTGGTCATGCATCATCCGATAAGGGATTCCTGCTCATTTTGGGGTGACCATGCTAACGCTGACAGCCACTTGCTTGTTGGGAAGCTCCCAGGAGGTTGAAGGAAGCACATCATGGTGCTTACGCCCACAAGAGCAGCTGTGCTGTTACAGGCATTGCTTGATCTCATTATCCTCAAAGCTTAACAGGGTGTTTATGTTTTCATAGGTGTAACACAGAGAGCGAGTGGTACCAAATCCATGAGAACATCATCAAAAAGCTGAATGCGCGTTACAATTTGACTGGCTCCAACGCGGGTGAGTACGCGGGGCTGGCTGGCGCCCCCTGCACTTTCCATTTCGGGCCCTTTCACGTACGTGCCTGTATAAGAAAGAAATGCCCTGCCCTGTTTTTTCTCTCTATTCACTCCCTAACTTTAACAATGCACTGTCAACCTTCTGGTACGTCTTCCTGTGCTATGGTAGGCTCGTACTGTAACTCTCTCTAAAAATGTCTTCCATTCAGGTTTGAAACAAGGCAGAGCATCTGAGTTTGTTCGATAGTCCTAATCTTAAGGCCTCTACATTGTTACTGATTGCTAAAAACCAAATGACAAATATGCTTGGGCTCATGACTGCTGTGTGTAATAGGGTTGATGAACTTGGAAACTCGTCAGTAAGGCGCATGATAAACATGCCTCACTGCCCACAGCTGGAAGTCCTGTTATTGTACCAGAAAACAAACATGCAGACTCCCTATTGAAACTGGCTAAGGAGGGTGATGTCGACTGTAGTGTCACAGAGCGGGAAACGTATGCACATTTGTTCAGAAGGGAACTGCAATATTAGGTCGCATTATAAGGCATGTTATATGGTACAGGCTTATACCAGTAACGCACTTTAGAATATGTTACATTATATAGCGTATCTAGATTATATAGCGTATGCAGCTATGTCTTTACATTTGGTCAGTAGACAAAAACTTGGTGAATATTGTTTGCTTCCTATCCCCCTTTTACAACCATATTGAAGAAAATAAGCTACGAGGTGTGTGCTTTCATTGACATACAGAAACTTCAGATTAAGTAAGCTATTTGAACTGAATGCACTGTCCTTAAGACTGATTTCTGAAGTCTTGCTTGTAGATATTTGTGTTATAGTCCGACTTGCCTGGCAATTAGGAGAACCGGAGTTTAAAGTCGGGCCACCTTTGTTTTCCATACCTGTGCACATCGCGAGGCCAGAACGACTGGCAGAGAAAGTCACCGCAGGCAGAGACTCGGTGGCTCAGTCCAGCGAGAGGCCTAAGTGCGCACCCCACACATATGGCAGTGCTCAGGCCGCGAGGAGCGCTGAGGTCAGTTTCCTCCCTCTCCCAAGAGTTCGGGAGGGAGCTTGCGTTTTAATTGATTCCCTCAAAGTCTGACATTTCCCACTAAATAAACAAGAGGCGTGGCCTTACTATCGCGGGCGGGGTCCATGAAGGGCCCCGGGGCCCGTAGCAGTGGAATATAAACACGGGTCGAGCAACAAGCCTACTTTGGAAACTGGTACGTACCCTTGTCTTCACTTTTCCTGCTAAAGAATGGTAATGGCACTAGACTCCGGGAAGGAAGGGCCGCTCATTCCGTTTCCTCGGGAAGTCATTGTCGTGTTCTCCCCCCGCACCCCCTCCCCGTGCTTAGACCTGCTCCGCGTGGTCCACGTGCTTAGTCAGTTTTATTGACTGACTGACCACTTACTCTTGCTGGAATCCTGGGTGAGACTACCTGGAAGTGAGACCCACCCACCTTCTTCCCTGAGTGTGACCTGTTCTGTTTGTAGCTACTGTGCTGAAATGAAATCTACCTGTTGTGTCTTGGGAAAAGGTGAAAGATACCATGGCACTGGGGAGCCCTGGAGGAAGGGTTTCCCCTCCCTTTGGCAGAATCCATCCCCCACTTTGCTGCCTCCTGTGGTGCTCAGACTCCTAGGCAGCCGAAGGTATCTCTCTCGGCTTGGCTTTTGCTGCAGAGCCCTTGTGCTCTCCTGTCCTAGGGCCCAGCCCCTCTCCGTCCTCATGCTTTCAAGCCTGCGTCCCAGGCGGCTGCACGCAGCCAGCATCTATCTGCCTTCTGTTCCTCTGGCCTCTGCCTGACCCCTTCTGGCTCTCTCAAGCCAAAGCAAATCCCACTCTAAGCCTCATCACTCCAACATAGTGCTCCAGAGAGACAAGGCTCAGGAAGAAACTTTAGAAAAATAAGAACTCAGTCTTTACTCTTTCCCCTTAAGTTTCTGCCCTTCAGTCTTGCTGGGCCATTGTTCTCAGTCACCTGGGTCTAGTCCCCTTCTCTAGAAAAGGCCGTTTTAACGCGAGCAGGTAGGTGTTCAGCAGCTTCTTGGCTTGGTTACTGAAAGGGAGGCTCTCGAATGACTTACTTAAAAATAGCAGAGGAAGTGAGGATATGCAAAATTAAAGTGGGAAATTGGGGTGCCTAATGTTCAAACAATCACTGTGGTTTTATATGTTAGTTTCCCCTGTTTTCTCCTTGGACCATGGATTTGTTGATTAAATAAAAGCAGTGCAGTCAAATGTTTTCAGGAGAATTGAGTTTACTCAGCAAAATATTAGGTCCCCCCTCCCCCTGCTTTCCCCCTGCTGTTTCTTGGTCATTGGTACTGAAAAAGAAAGAAAGAACAAGAATAACTTGAAATTAGTTTTGGAAAAAAATTCTACCACTTAATTTCCAGTCCCTTCATGCTTCGTTGATGTCCTCCTATCTTGTGGAGTTGTAATCTTGTCTGTTTAATAGATAAAGGGATTCATCTAGTTAACTATTTTTTTCCTTTTCCTTTCTAGCCTAAGACTTACGTTGCAAATGTACATTAACCACTATCTTTGTTGTGTTTAGGAACTGGGAGAAAATTTCAAGTGATCCATTTAACGTTAAGATAAAAACAATAATTGAATTAATATATCTCTATGGTTACATATATAGTTAGGTTGAGTCAATTCAAATTTCCAAAGTTGTGCTCTGTGGGAATTTTAAAATCGAAACATACTATTTTAAGAATTTGAAACTCTAAAACTACTCATTAAAATGACCCTGGTTTAGGATTGTTGAGCAAATGGTTTTGATAAATGTCACCTCTTATAGGCATTAGCCGTGAATTCTAGGAATGCGAAACAAGACTGGGCCAACGTCATTTACGGGGGACATTCAGTTCTGCGACTTGAAATAAATTGTGTAAGGATTGTTGGTCCTGTTCCGGATGTCCTAAGACAAACTTGAAAATCTTGTCATGTTATATGTATTTATGAAACCTATTTCCTGCAGTTGGCACATGTTGCTTATACAACTAGAAAAAGTCCTATTTGCTAATTAGGTCAGTCTCCACAGTACTTGTTTTTACATTAGTAAGAGGAATAGCCATGGTTGCATCCTGCCAACCATACCTTTTAACCCGCACAGAAGGTCCCGGGAGTTACCTGGACAGAGAGCCCACAGCACACAGGAGAGCCGCTTAACTCCCAGGGGAAGCACAGTATTCTTTACTTGGCTGAGATGAAAGGAGGCTTTGAGAGAGTTAGACTGAGTTTTGGGGGTTGACTGCCCTATCCTCACATACCATGCAGTTATTTAATTCAATATGAGTGAATTGGCATAATTCTTCAGGATTGCATCAGTGCTCCTGAGTTTTGAAACTTAGCTTTCTAATATTTTTAAAAGGAAACTGGTACTTTTTGGCACCACCTATTGGCTGGAAATATAGTGTATAACCTTTTTGTTCCTGTTTGGAATTTCCTGATTATTAAACCAAGCTCTCTTTTTTATTCTTGTAAAATTTTTTATTTTTCAATTAATTTTACTTGCAGAAATGTTGTAAGAATAGTGTAAAGAATTCCTAATTTCTTAAAGGTTAACATTTTACTATGTTTTACCTTTCTGTCTCTCTTTCTCTCTGTCTCTCTCTCTCTCTGTCTCTCTCTCTCTCCCTCCCTCCCTCCCTCTCTCTCCTTTTCATATATATAGATATGTAGGGTTTTTAGTCCTTAATACCACATAAGTAGAGTGATTTTTGTTTGGTCAATTAATTTACACATTTACAATTATAATTTAATTGTGCATTGAAGGCACACTATCCTATTATCCTCATGGACTGCTTGTGTTATTGAAAAACAGTGGGGATTTCAAGGATGTTAAAATGAGCTGGCTCCCTGAGTCGTGGTAGACTGAACTTCTGTGACCTCCTCTTCTGCCCCCCACACATAAAAATGCTAAATAAATTACAACCCAAGACATGGGAAAAAGTGGAGAACGAAGGCTTAGACCGAGGCAGGGAAATCCTGCTGAAATGAAGGGGGGGCTCTAAACTACAAGGGTGACCCCTCAAGCAGGTGCTCCGACCAGGAAAGGAGGGCATGATATGTGCCCCGACACTTTGGGCCTTAACATTGTAATTTCCTGTGGAAGTGGAGACATGGTATAGGGGTAGACAGGTAACACCTGGAAGTGAGTCCTCTAATATTGGGCCCGGAAGAGTTCTTCTGTCTTCTAAAAAGCTGTTGGGGTGCATGGTTCTCCCATTAGACATCAAAATGCCAAGTTTATGCCATTAGTCTGAATTTACACTAACTCAGTAGTTGGGAAAAATCCATCGTCATAAAACTCAGTGTACAGAAAACTGGTCCCAGTTTACTAGCCTGAAACAAGTAAACGCATAATCCCTCCATGGTGCCTCCCCCACACCTGAGGCGCATGTGATTCCTGTGAAAAGAGCAATACATACTGAAGACAAGTCACAATAAAATGATAATGTCATAATCACCCCTGAAATAATCAGCAGTGAGGCAGAGTAAGCAGGTACAGCCAACAGGAATGATGACCGCCTAGAATGTTAGGTAATAAATATTCATGCAATGACTAAACAAGAGATAGAAAAATAGATTCATAATGAAAAAGAAAACATCATGAAAAAAATGAAGGAGAGTTTTCAAACTCTTGCATCAAAATTATTAATTGAGCATCTATATATCTGGCATTATTCATGGCACTAGTAATATTTCACTTAATAGAGGATATAGAAATCCTTGTCCTCCATGGGGCTTACAGTCTAGAGGTTAGAACTAAATAGAACTCAAATTCTTTTAAAGAGGAAGTCATTGAAAAAAATTAGTGAACTGCTCACATGAACACAGGTGAGAAGAGAATGAATAAACTACAATTATAGCTTAAAATATTTGCCAAAATGCAGCACAAAGGGAAAATGCAGTGGGAAAATCTGAATAAACATTTTAAAAAGAAAAGATTAAATGAAAACGATCAGCATTCATCTAGTAGGAATTCCAGAAACAGCAAACAGAGTACACGTGAAAGCTGCAACATTTGAAAAGAAATGGTTGAGAATTTGAAGAACTTTTGAAGAGGTTAAGAGTCCTCAGATAAAAGAGGCAAAAGTCATGAGCAGGATAAATAAAATTCAAGTCATATGTGCATAAACTGTGGTAAACTCTAGAACACCTAAGACAAAACTAGAAACCAGAGAGAAAAAACTGATTACCCCAAAAGAAATAATGTCTCAGCAGCAGTTCTAGAGGTCAGAATGTCTCAGAATAATATCTTAAAATTGCCAGGGTAATGGCCAACTTTGAATTCTGTACTTGCCCAAGTATTTAAAAATGGAAACGAAATAAAGACCTTTTCAGATAAAGTCTGAGAGAATTTAATACATTTACTGAACCAGTGAAACATTTAAAAGATTAGAAATGCAATATATAACTTCCAGAATAGTAGAGAAAAATAGGGGAACTAAGAAAACGCAATCCATTTAGAGCATAGCAATTAAGATGAAAAAAAAAAGAAAGGAAAGAAAAATTATAATTGAAAAACACAAAATATGAGAGTGAATAGCCTCTCCCCTTACCAAATTGTACCTAACATCTTCTCAAGGGTTTTTTGGAATTTGCTACTTATTCAGAGTGTTGCCTTATTAATATCTGGGCACAAAGCTGGAATCCCTATGTCATCAGGAATTTCATCATTTTCATGTGTCTGTCTGTCTCACTGCCTTCTTGTATGCACCGGTTTCATCTTTGTCAGATCTGCCGTATGAGTATCACTCTTGACAGAGAGACAGATTGGCCTTTGAACCCTCCATAGGACCTAATCATTCAACTACCCAGGAGCTTGGCAATGCTTGTCTATCAAGTGGAAAGTGGACACGCCTGCTCAAAGGAACATTGTCTGTGTGTGTGGCGCTTCGAGAACAATGAGCATTTTTTTGGTGGAAGGTAGTCTGTTGATATTCATGGCAGGGAGTAATCAGAGCAGAAACAGTGGCACGATATAATAACGGTGGTGGCAGTGTAGCTGGAGTGGCAGCAGCTGACATTTGGAGCCCTTGCCGGGTATCGCCAAGGTATTTTATGGAGCTGGCATCGCCCGTGTCTTTACTTTACAGATGTGGAAACCAAAGCACAGAGAAATTAATGTTGAGACAGGGTCATGATCTGTTTTTGAAACTGCACCCTTAATCATAACATGGATTCAATATATTTATCACCATTTTCCATTTCCGTAGCTATTCCCAACTACATGTTATTTGGTTCATTGCTGGCAAAATGGCTGATCTAGTCTGAAATTAATTTTGCCTGCTACTTATAAATCATGCTGTGCTTGCCATTTTTTATGTAAAAGTGCAGAATTTCATGAATTTAAGAGGATGCATCTGATAGAGTGAGTTAGCTTCAGTTCCTTTGAAATTAGAGCTATCGAATAATTAGCCACATTTGGTGTAACGGTTACCAAGCCTTTCTTTCCTGTACTCCTGCTCCAGAGCTGGCTTCATCATGAAAAACGTGTTGTTTTGTGACAGACGCTAGATTAATTACTGACAGTACCTTTGTTTAAAATCAGATATCGAATCGTTACCATTGTAATGGTCTTAAACATCTAGGCGGATAAAAGAAGTTCCTTTTAATGATTGTTTCTTCTAATAAAGAGGAGTGTTCCTCCTGTAGCAATTCATTTTTGTTCTTATATTAAGGGCCAGGAAAAAAAGTGATGGTAAAACACTATAGGTCTATTTTGTGAAATTAAAATTGTAACCTAATTATTCAGCTTATTGGTTGTCAGAAATCCCTGTCTTTTTAACAAAAAAATCTTCCCTGAACTTTCAAATTCCCTCAATCAGTAATAATTTCTACTTATTTTAATATTCCTGTTATACACTGACCCCGTTCTGCTTAATATTCTATTTATATGTGTGTCTTACTTTCATCGTTCCTTTGAGCAGGAACCTACCACAGACCTCCTTACATCGCTCCATCCACCTTTCCTGTCAAGCCCAAGTTACTGCTTTGTCCAAAGTGGGCATTTTGGGTTGTGGCAGGAGTGAGACCACGTGTGCAGGTCGAGGTTTAGAAGTTGCCCCAGGCCCAGAGATAGCAGATAAGGCGAGGATAGTGAAGTCATCTGGCAAGAAGAGATCGGAAAGAAAACAACTTCATGAACATTCTGTCATGCCAGACTGGCCCTGAAAGGGTAGGGCAGGTCCTCAGCCACTGGCATGGGTGACTGTGTGATGTCCCTCTTTTGTAGTGGTGAGGAGTTTCTTTGTCCTAATTCACTGCTTCTTCTTGTTCTGGTGACTCATTTATCCAACCTGTTGGCTGTAGTCATGGTAACTGAGGGCCACCAGGAAAGCGGGATCAGGAGCCCCTGTGATTGAAAAGCCAACAGCATTGCAGTGGCTCTTGGTGGGCAGGTCCCTACCGACTCACCTCTATATTGTTTTTTCTTTGTCTTATTGAAAGTGCACCCACTGTTTTATGTTTCTTTGTTTTGTGGGGGTTTTTTGTTTTTTGCTTTTAATGGAAACTGTGTTGGTGATTTGGGAAGAGCCACGTACACGTAGACAAGCCCTTGGTCCCGTGACCTCGCCAGTGCTTGACTGTCTGTGAGTTCTTTATTCCGGAGAAATCGGGTCACTTCAAAAACGGCAATACCTTCTCTCCTCCAAATTGTTATCACTTGGCTGGACAGATGAGAGCATGGGACCTAGAGCTTTAATCTACATCTTTCTAAACCTTCCGGTTGAAACTAACACGCCTTACAAGCAAATTTTAGGATACACTCAACTCTTTAATGCGTGGTTTTCCTTTTCCACCTGTACTGCTTTGCCTGTTTTTCTCCTGTCACTTCCTCATTGCTTTACGCACTAGCTTGCTTCTCTTTGTCTATTGTTTCCTACGTGGGTTCTCTCTATCCCTTTGCATGCTCATCTCGATGGCTTTTGCTCTCTAGAGAACATTGGTGTATATCCCGGTTCATGCTTACATACCTGTCTTTCCCTAAAACATATCTTTTCTCTAGTTCTATCTTTAATTTTCTTCAGCATTCATATTGCCTCTGACTGCATGCTTTTCTTCTTTCGTTGTCTTATTCTCTGTACAGTATTCAGCTTATTAAAAAAAAATCACTGACGGTTAAATGAATTCTTGCTCTAACAGAGCAGACCGAGAATTCTGGTCACGTGGCCTTCCTCCAGCCCCTACCCCAAATAGCATGATCGCTTTGTTTTCTTCATTACCATTTAGTTCTTGTCTCTCCTTACTTTATACCTACCACATAATATTGCTAGTGTCTCTGATCAGAAACTTTGATGAGAAGTCCTAGTGACATGATTGCTCTTGCAAAAAAACCACAGGACCTCGAGAATTTCGTTAAATCCATCTGATTCTCTATTTGAAAGCACTGCTTATAGTACTCCCGGATTTGAACAGTGTGCTCCCCAGTGGGAGGGACTGTGCTGTGGCTGGCACACACTAGTATTCTACAAATATCAACTCCTGACGATGCAGGTGCTGATGGTGACAGTGTGAGTGGGCGTTTGGAAGGCAAAAGGACAGATGTGGGAGGAGAAGAGAGGCAGCAGTAATGAGCTGGGGGTAGTGGAAGCGAGCGTGAGTCAGGAAGAAATCACTTCTGGGACCGAGGGATTATCACACATGTTACACATGTTTGTGCGTCTTCATTCTCCCGCCTCCGGGTTTTAAGAGGAACCAATAGAACCACATGAAAGGATCCCAAAGCTGCACTGACAGTTGTCGTCCTCAAATCATCTGGACCACTTTTTCTCCCCTAGTTCATTGTGTGTGGCTTTCAGAGGACAGACACGCCTCCATGCTGCTGCCTTCATTCACCCAACTCAAACCCGCTGGGGAGGGAGATGGAGGACAGTTAGGTAAGAGCGGGATGTAGATTTGGTAAAAGTGCCCAGTGCCTTCCAGATTTCATTTAATTCTCTCAGCAACCCCCTGACCCAAACATTCTGTTAGATCCACACGCCAGGAAGCATCGGGACGCAGCGATGCAGCCACGTGCTTAGCGTCTTTTCTTGTGTCACTGCCCCTTGGGTACACCTCCTCTAGGTCAGATTTGAACCCTAGGAAAGGCTCCGGAATCTCTGTCTGCCTCATGCTTTTGTTATTAAACAAGATTTCCTATTGTGTTAACGACTCTGTTGAAAAGCCAGCAAATTAACCAGCAAAACACTGCTTCTGTTGTTATTTGTTTATTCATACCACTGAAGGAGATTGAGAGGAGGAGCCTAACCGAGTTGTGTGGCAAATACGTTTTTTTTGCATTTTTTTTTCATTTCAGCGCGATTGCTGTCATTCTTACCGTCTGTGCTGGTACCCAGCAGTGTCGTCCTGTAAATTATGAATGGGGAGTGATAGCTTTCCAGCTGTGTAATGAGCATTGGTGCAGGGGCGTTTCCATCTGGGGCGGGAGGAGAGGGTGTGGGGCTAGAAGCCAGGCTTTCTCTTCCCAGTGTTCTGCTCAAGAATTTTCCAGTCGCTGTGAACCTCCATATGAAGGAGAATATTCGGGTATTCAAGTTGGAGAAGTCTTATCTGGAGATCGTTCCTATAGAGTGCATTGATTGTGTCTAAATATTTAAATATTTACTCTTAGTGGAAAATGATGATACCACTGATTCGGGCTTGGCGAAGCTCTTGTGTTTCTGTCCCTGCCCTCTCTCTAGCCTTCCTATTGTAACCCTGGGCTCTTTCATTTGTTTTAGGTTTAGCAGTTTCCCTACAACTGTTGCATGGAGACATCGAACAAATCAGGAGAGAGTACTCATCGGTGTTTTCCCATGGAGTGTCCATAACGAGGAAGTTGGGTTTTTCTAATATTATTATGCCTGGTAAGTGACTTGGGCTGAACCACATGATGAAATAGAGATAGTTTGTTCGATGTTGACATTGGTGGAATTTTTCCAATTTTGAAGAGTTCACATGGGCCATGCTGAAGAGTGAAATGAGGTACAGGAAGTCCTCACTTAACGTCGTCAATAGGTTTTGCACCTCTAAGTGAAACGGTGTATAACGAAACCAACTTGACCATAGGCTAATTGATATAAACAAGAGTCCAGTTTCTGTAGCATTTTTGTCAACGTTATAATGAAATGATGTCATTTGAGGATCTGCTGTATGTGATAATATATCAGCAAAAGTTTTAATTAAATTTACTGGGGTGACAATGGTCAGTAAAATTACATAGCTTTCAGGTATACAATTCTGTAATACATCATCTATATATCACATTGTGTGCTCACCACCCAGAGTCAGTTCTCCTTCCATCACCATATATATGATCTACTTTACCCTCATCTACCACCCCTCCTCCCTTACCCTCTGGTAACCACTAAACTGTTGTCTGTGTCTATGAGTTTTGTTTGTTTGCCTTGTTCCTTTGTTGTTTTCAGTTTTATATCCCACATATCAGTGAAGTCATATGGTTCTCGACTTTTTCTGTCTGACTTATTTTGCTTAGTATGATAACCTCAACATCCATCCATGTTGTCGCAAATGGCACTATTTCATCTTTTCTTAGGCAGAGTAGTATTCCATTGTGTACATGTACCACATCTTCTTATCCAATCGTCTATTGAAGGACACTTCGGTGGTTTTCATGTCTTGGCAAAAGTTTTTTTTGTTTTTTTTTATAATATCTTTAGATTTTGATTAAATGAGAATAGGTAACTTGTGGGTAGCACGGCTGCATGAATGCCAGAAGGAAAGCTGAGGTAGTATCCAGAAAATATCGTAGCCTTTGGTGGAAAATGTTAGTGAAATCACTTAGAGGAAATCCTTAGATTTTGATAAGAAGTTTATTGAGCAATAGTTAGCCTTTCTTGGGGGATTTTTCCAACAGAGATGTTGTGTGTGTGTGTGTGTGTGTGTGTGTGTGTGTGTGTGTGTGTGTGCAGCCATATGCAAATACCATGTGTATTTCTGCACCTCTCCTAGTTCTACTGGTGTATATAATTCAGGTCTATATTACCAACCAAAACAGACTGCACACAAAGGTGTTTGTTTCTAAGTGGAGAAGGGAGGGTTAGGAGGGTCACATTCTTAAAGCAAATGCCAGGTAGTTGTATTTTCTCGGGGCTCTACCTTCTACCCTCCACAACGAAGAAAAAAGTAAATAGACCAAATGAAGTAGTCTCAAATTGTTGACAGTACTTTCAGAAAGGAGACCTGCTAAATCACTGTTGACATCCCATGTGTAAAAGCAAGCGAGAGAAGTCAGGACGCAGTGGTAAGATGCTGTGAGTGAAGCCCTACCAAGATGCTGAAACTGCCCAGCATGGCCGTTGCCACGTTCTGTGATCTGATGGGAATTTGTTTACGCAGGGAGAGCTAAGAGGACAGCCTGGAAACTTTTCCCGAGCTGACCTGACCTTAGGGACCCAGTCTGCCTGAGCATCTCATGCTACTGTTGTCAAAAAGGACTGTCTCTACAACTGTTTATTGGTGGCATGTTATTCAGTGGCTCTTGCAACTGTTCGTTATTTCCTTCGGTTGCTATAAATAACTGGTATTTCCTCTTTAACAAAGAAGAAAAAAAATCATCCCGCTGGGAAGCAAATTGATGGGCAAATCTAATATAAAAAACATATTTTAGAACAGAATGCAGCCAGCTGCTAGAAGAATTCCTCAGCTTGGTCTCTGGGCAGTATCACTGAGAAACGGAAAAAAATAAAGCAGCATGACACTTCACCGGCTGAATAATTGTCTGGGATTCTGGGATGTGCTGTGATCACGCAGCTTTTGTCTGGCATTAAGGATGGAAATGAACTCTCTGTGGAATGGGGCTCATCTCTGCCCCTTTACTGCAGCACATATGGCGGGGTTCACACTGTCCAAGGGTCACGCCCCCACATAAAGTCTGCAGCCTGGACGGCAGGAGACTTTTAAAAGCAATTCCTTCTTTTTCTTCTTTGGCTTCTTAATCTTTCAAGTTTGATGGAGAAGTGAGCATTGTATGCATTGACTTAAACAGCTGAAAGTGACTTTAAAACTTTGTGGAAGCCTTTCCACTGGCAAACACACAGGCATTGCTTTGTTTTCCTTTGTTATTTTCAGAATTTTGTCTTGTCAGTGAATTCTCACTGACGGCGCTAATGAAAACCTGAGCCGAGTTCTTCCACGAGTAAATGTATGTGAACAGCGCGTCTCATCCCAGGGTTGCCCTGACAGTCTGCTAGCATGATGTTTTCATCCTTTTTGCTTTCTAGACGTGTCCTTCACAGTGAGTTTGTGTTCTGTGAGGGGTCAGGACAGGTGAGGCGTGAGCTTCTACCAGCAAGCTGAAGTTCATGAGCAGAGTCACTGCCTGTCTGCAGAATGAATTATTGGTGGTACTGACAGGAACATACACAAAACTCTTCTTGAGGATTGCCGAGAGTCATCAGTGCCAAGCTCTTTCTGGAATGGGAAAAAGATGGAGACAGAAATTGCCCCTGTGGTCTCTCCTGGTGGAAGGAGGTGACCTGCCATGTGCTTTGGTGCCATCCTGAGGCCCTTTGAACTCTCACTGTTCCTAAGGATTGGTCATTCAGTACTTTATTTCTTAGGGTCTCCAATTTCCAAAGAAGGAAAGTCACTTTCAGTGACACTCCATCACTGCCACCTATGAACCAAAAACTTGCAGAAAATTCTATGTTCTGGACTCTGAGCCCATGAGAGGGAGAGCAACTAAAATGCTTTAATCAGCGTTCTAAAAACAGAAATATAATGTGAGCCACAAATGTAATTTTAAATTGTCTAGCAGCTGCATTAAAAGTTGGAAGAAAGAGATGAAATTAATTTTCACAATATATTTTACTTAACCTGACACATCAAAATCCTGTTTCAACAGGTAGTTCATATAAAACATTCCTCATGAGTCATTTTGCACTCTCTGTTTCAGCCTAAGTCTTTGAAGGTGGCTAAGTATGGTGCATGCACAGCACATCTGTTTTCGGCCAAGTCACATTTCTAGTACTCAGCTGCCGCATGTGGCAGTGCTTACTATGTTGGACAGCCCAGCTCTAAATGTCCTAGCAGACTCCGTGCAAAGCAGGTCTGGGCCGCTGCTGAATATCAGAAAGGACTAAGTGTTCGTCTACCAGACATTTTGGAGCCAAGCTGGCTGATGTGTCAGGAATGTCACGGGAGGTCAGGCTGTGCGCTCCCCACCCACCCAAAGTTCCTTTCTACTCTGAGTTTCTGATTCTTTCTGGGCAAAATTTTCTTTCCTTTCATGATGGTCTCCCTTCTTTACCTTCTCACCTGTCCCCTGTCCCCCTGGAGATTTGTTCTTACAGACCATCTGGCTATACTGTGACTCTGTCAGGGAGCCCCAAATTTTAATAACCCTCCGGTGCATTTGCTTTTAGTAGGCAATCTCTGAAGCTCCTAAACCTAAGAGGAATTGAGTGTGGAGGGGTGATAGGGGGAAGGATTTGGATGCTAGAGGCTGATGCTGGAAAGTGCAAATAGACTGTTTCAAATGGCTGCCAGCAGTAGTGGCTTTGATAGTGATCTCAAGACTTATTTATGGTTGATTTGCAAGTATCACCCAGAGGAAGCCTTTTTTTCTTTGGTCTCTGGTAGTTCAGAGAAGTCAAATTTTTCTTTGGTCAGAGTTGACTAGATAATGATTTATAAGGATGGGATAAGAGGAATATTGTTGATATGTTTGCCTTACGTTTAAGAAGATACACGATTTCATTCTTTTAAATATAAGTGTTATTATCCTTTACCACTTACTGATAGAGACACGCAGATCAACAGAGAGAATTGCCTGAGATAAGCCTTCTTTTGGAAAAAGCAGGCGGAAGCCAGTGTGATACGATTTGATCTTCCTTAAAAATATATTCTACATCTAACCAGAGTGCCCCCACCCCAGTCCAGGTCCCTGGGCTCCACACCATATAGGTGCAACCATTTGGCTTACGCCTGAATCCTCTGATCCTGCCAGGAGAGGGGAAGGTGCTCTTTCAACCAGTCAGTGCCGCGGTGACGAAGGAGAGATGGAGACTGAGGCTCTACATGTCACGGTGAGGTTGGACCCGGCCCCTGATCCCACTGGGGGAAGGCCGGTACCTCCCAGATTATGACGCTGACAGGCCCCGTCGCCCAAGGGTGTAGGCCATCCCCCAACTGGCCCTGTGAGAGATTCACATGTCATCCTAGAGTGTGATGAGCAGCAGGGAGCCACAGCCCGTCCCTGCTCCTGTGTATGCAGCACAGTTCTCGAAAGTCCATCAGGGGTGCTGATGTATTACATACAATAGTTATAAGTGAAAGTTAATAGTTATAAGTGAAAAATTTAAAGCAAACCCCCAAAGAGAACTCTCCTAAAATAGAGAGGGAAGGATGGAGGGAGAGAGGGGGTTGGGGGAGAGAGAGAATGACAGACAGAAAGTAGAGTAAGCTTTGAGGGGTTTTACTAAAGTCTAGTAAACCAGAACTGAAAAGACAAATAACTAAAAAGAAGATTAAAAAGAGATCAGTGCTTCAAGACTGGTCTGAACAGTGCAGAACAGAGCAGGACAAGCGCCTTCTTGCTCAAGGGACTGGTTGGTTTTCTGGTGACAAAGGCTGAACTGCACTCGCTTACTTGGTGGCCGTTCTCATCCTGTTGAATTGCATGTTTTATGGGTAAAGCGGGGATACTGATCATACGTTCGACACATTTCTTAATCTCTACACTTCGGTTTCCTCATCTATAAAATGAAAATGATAGACCCTTCTTATAAAGTTGATGCGAGGATTTAAGAGATGTTCTCCTTAGAGCGCTTGGGTCAAATACCACTGCTGTCTACTGCTTTCATCATCTAAGGTCACGGAAAAAGTCCTGTACTCTTGCACACGT